CTCGAGGCAGGAGGGCCTCAGGGCACGGCACCTCAAGGTAGAGGGGCTTCAGGGAACGACACCTCGAGGTTGATGGGCGGGTAGGGGAGGCCTCACGGTACGGCACCTCAAGGTTAGAGGGCATGTAGGGGTGACTCGAGGCACGACGCCTCAAGAAAAGAGGGTGGGTGGGTAGGAGGGCCTCGGGGAACGGCGCCTCGAGGTTACATGCTCTCTTTCACATTCAATGTTGTTTACCGTTTAGAGTTCCTGTGATATAGGTATTTCAAGATCCTATGTTCCGGTCTGTCATATTATAGTCGATTAAAAGAAAGAACAGACACAAAAGAAAGTTCCCCAGCACCGCAGTGTGTAGCCTAGTGGTCAATGAAGTGGATTATGAACCATGATATGTACAAATTAGGCCACACATACTATTTTCCCAATTTTTAACTATCGGTTGCTTGAAAAAATGTCATGTTCTATTTTTTTTTTTGTTTTTCTTTCTCATTTGCAGAAGTTGGAAAGTTTTTTTTTATTCTATCATCCCCCGATATTTACTTTAAAGGTGAAAGAAAGAGTTGGAAAGGAAGTGGAACACTCTGGTTCTATTATGTGCACTATAGACTTTTTAATGTAGTTTAACATGCTTCTGTAATTCAGATATTCTGAAATCCTTAAATATGGCTTTATAATTTTTGCTAAATGTGTATATCCTATTCATTTTAACACTTAAGAGTAGAATTTTCATGATGTTCATATTTATGAAGTTTCTTGATAATCTAGAAGCTTGCATATCTGATAGTTACTCATTACTAGTGAAAAGTGTCACTAGTCAAACTTAGATTGACTTTAACTACGAGATAATAGGAGAACTGAAAATGTGGGATCAATTGCTCTTAAGATTTAGGAATCAAATTTATCTGTAGTAAATGTAGAAATGTGCTTTCACACATAATTGTTGAAATGCTTCAACAACAACATACTAAACTTGTACCCATGTGAAGGTAAAGAGGTTGTCTCCAATAACCCTCAGATCAAGTAAAGTAAATCAAAATCAAGTATGGAAAGGAAATACAGCAATGGAGAAGCCATAAGGAAAATAAATAAGATGTCCTTACAATAAAGAAAAAGTGAAATTTTAGGCTGATGAGGTGAAATTGGTTTCGTTTGATGTGATGTGTGGTGGAGTCTTGAATGGACAGACTAGTCTAGATACAAATTAAATACTTGAAGGATTGCAGGAAATATTTTTTAAATATTTTTTAAACTTATTGAGGAGCTTCAAGCCCTGAACATGTGATTTCTTATGATGTGTATTTCATATTATATACATTAAATGTTTGATTTCAGTTTGTTGAGGCTGACTGCTCTCCCCCTTGCGTCTTCCGTTATTGTGTAGGATATATATCAGGCAAACAAGTATCTGCCAAGACTTGATAATAGTTCACTCAGGAAGTGAAGCATATAGAAAAGCAAACCAGGCAAAAGATTATTTTTTGGAGTTTATGAGTCATCAACAGAGACTCTATAAGAGGTTAGCTTCGGAAAAAAGGTTATTTTTGCAGATGTTGCGATTACAACCACGTTTGGTTTCGTATCTGTGTTAAAACAACTACAAATATCTTCTGTAATATCTCAATATTTCCATTTATATAAGAAAGAAGGCCTAGAAGTACATTGCTTGCACAATACTCTAGTGAAACAGTAACTTTTACACGAATTTCAAATCGAGACATAACGAATTGATCATTATAAATTTTGTTAGCCAAGGTTGTCTTGCCAATCCCCCCC